TAACAGTTAGCCTAGTTGTAATCTAATCTTCTAATCTGACTAGACAAGAGACTTTATATTGATATTTCCTCCTGCGTGCATTCTAGACGGGCTGTCAGTCAGTGCAGTTACAGTGTTGCGCCACAAGGTGGTGGAACGTGACTGTCATTCAACTACACGTTCAAAAACGCTGATTCATTCTATCAAAGAGACGTAATGAAACACGCTGTTGAAATCATTTTAACTTTGAGCGCCACTTTAGAAGGCTCAGCTGACCAGTTATGCGTCGATGCTAAGACAGAGATTTCGCTTTCCTTGGACATGACAACCTATTTTCACAAATATATATGACTCGGCCTGGAGGACAGACGCAAGTAATCGCACGCGCTCAGTCGATCTCTCTCTCATTCACTGTCTGTTTAGGCTTGTTAAGTGCAAATCTACGGAGCCTCAGTACAAATAAGCATGGTACACATTATGTTATCATTACTAACTTGTTTAATATTTAGTCCACATGCATGAAGTGTAAAACGAGAAGGGCATAACCTTACGAAAAAATAAAACACGCAAAAATCGCGGTTGCTGCGGTTCTTGCATTCCTCTGCGGTTTGCTCGTCAATAGCGCGGTATTGCGATATTGCGGTTATCGCGACAGCCCTAGGTGTGATGTAGTAAAGTCTATTGGCTTCAGTTTGTCCCACTCAGCAAAGGAAAGAAAATTGTGCTTGGCCGATAATTTAATGGGAACTTTAAGTGTAATGTATATGTAAAGGAAAGAAATAAAACATATTTTACTCTATAAAAATGAGTCTGCTTTTTAGGACCGTTAAGATGTTTCACATTGGCAGTAGAACCTTTGCATTGATTAGTGTTACATGAACTTTTAATGAGACTAATGAGAACTGCAGAAAAGTTAAACGTCTAGGCAGTGAGAATTTGTTGGGAAAATGTTATTGTCAGTTGTCAAAAAGCAACTCTTAATGGTCCTAAAAATATTCAAAATAATCTATTTGTCTTTTTTATTTTTATTTTGAGGTGAAATATTACCAGGACATGTTATAGTGATATTTGCCATTAAACACCACTGTCTGATAAGGGCGTTGCAGCACTGATATGAGTTATAATTTATGTTGTCAATTCTCTCTTCCACCTCCCAGCAACTCGGATCTCACTAGGTCAATTAAAATGCACAGAAATTTGTCAGCATGCTCGCTAATCATACTGACTCGTCTACTAATGAGCACAGCTCTCAAAAGCCATCACTTTTAATAGGCATGGTGTAATGAGCTTTAATTGAAATTGGTCAATTTGCATGGTAAGCGGCCATATGAAGAATTTGGTGCTAAAGGTCTGATTTTCTGCATGGAAACTGTACTTGGGTGGTAATAGCCTGTTTTACCATAGTCTAAAAGTGACTGAGCATATTAGGGCAGAACCACTTGTAGGTGTCTGCTTCATATGCCTCATTTGCATGACTGTTGATGTGCTTCATCAGTATCAGTGATAGGGCTGTCAAAAAACAATTCAAATTTCGAATATTTGTTGAATTTAAAATAAAAATCCACATTCCACAAATTTTAGGTGTGCGTCAGGCAGTATTATCAGTGGCACACGAAATGCGACGACGATGTAAGTGTCGTTGCATTTTAATGCTTTTGTTAGCCTATCCAGTTGCAGGGCTCGCAAAATTTCTAAATCCCTGGTAGCCCTTTGGGCAGGCGGATTTTGGTAGCCCAAAAATGAATTTAACTTGCCCGAATAAAATATATTGTGTTTTTTCTTCAAGTAACAAGTCAAGAGAGTAGGGGTGCAACGGATCACAAATCTCACGGTTCAGATTATATTACATTATCATATCACATTTTGAGTCACAGATTGAAACATTTTTCAGATGAGCAAAAAAATATATGGTTCTTTATTATTTAAGTAACACATTATTTAAAGAACAATTTACTACTTCGATACCACAGCAAAAACTATAGTAGCATATAGGGATGTAATGATTCACTCAACTCACGATGTGATATGATTCACGATACTGATTTCACAATACAATTTTCTCACAATTTCTTTTTTAACAAAATGAGATTTAAGACAGATTTAAAAGAAGGTGTCCTTTTGTTATTTCTCAGACCAAAAGGCTGCACATTACTTTGTGAAATTGAAAATGTGTAACAATATACTACCTTGAAAATTTAAAACATATCCCAAATCAAATAAATAAATAATACAAATAAAATAAATGTCTCCATTCAAGTAAACTAAGGTTTTGCCTGTGTATTTTAATCACGATCCAAACAAAGATGCTGCATACATGTTATTTAGATTGTAAAATTTTGAAATTTGAAACATAAAAAAATGGTCTGACTTTAGCTTTGTGATACTACATCAAAAAATCTGAACGAAACAAAAACAGCAGACGGGCTGAATGAGACGCAAATGTGACTCTCTGACAGCAGGTGGCGCTTAAACAGCAGGTATTTATAGGCTGCTGTCCCTTTAAGACCGAATGCATGGATCCAATATAATGATGCATGTGTGATTTCTTTCTCCACTGTTTACGTTCATTTAAGACATGAAAATACTTGCCGAGATAGTTATTTTGAGATAATTTTGCATGTATGTGTCCGTTCAAGCGAAAGAGGAATAAATTCTGTGTTCGTGCTCTACCTGAAACGCGGCTTTGTATGTGCGCACGAGCACCGAACTGAGTTCTTCATGCGCATGAATGGTTTAAAACGCTTAAATGTTTAAATTGGTAATACTTAGAAACACGTGTAAATGATAAACTATGATCCGTTTCACCCCTACAAGCGAGTGAACAAAGCGAATCAAGGAAGGGATTTTATATCATTATTCAAGATAGCCCGTCGGGCAGGGCAGGGCAGTGATACATTTGGTAGCCCGACTGGAAAACACAATAGCCCCGGGACGTCAGGCTAGCGATTTTGCGAGCCCTGCAGTTTCTAGTGGGGCATCTATCAGCATTGCACTCGCGTCTGGCACAAGAGAGCGGCATGTTTAGAAAGCCATGTAAAATTAATGTAAGTTCAACTTTTAAAAAACATGTCTCCAGACTTTATGGCGGTTTTCCTCATCCCACTGCATCTCAAGTTTTTAAATGAAGAAAGTACTCTTTGTGATTGGTTTTCGGTCATTTGTATTAAACTATACATACATGCATTATGCTTTTTTGTTTCTAATTGTTTAAGCAACTTTATTAATTATATAAGGTTTATAAACATTATTTTAAACATAATGCACTTTTTTCAAAGATAGTCGTGTTATTTTATTATGCTTTGATAAAAACGTCCATAATATTTTGCTCGATGCGCCCTCTTGTGGCCTCAGGAGAGAAGCCAAAAGCTTGTTTTCCCCCTAACTGAAATTATGCCTTTTAAATTCGAATATAATTAGAATATTGATAATATTTAAGTAAAAAAAAATTAATTTAGTTTTTCAGCCATTTTGACGGCCCTAATCAGTGACACCCCTGCGTCAGATACATTCACGCGGTGCTCTGTACAGTGCTGTTTCACCTCCCCACATTACCTTAGTGACACCAGGCTTTTTCAGAGGAATCTTCAAAGAGAGATTAAAACTTACCAGGGCAACTCTGATCAAAGGTTAAACTACGCTCAGCACGACTCATCTGGTAATACACAGTGTAGCACATCCATTTGAAAGTAGAAAGAGTCTCAATTGATTTGCAGGTGATGGAAACAATCACAGATCATTTGCTTTTATTGTTGAGGAGCAGTATGGTAAACTGTTTCCGTAACATACCTTGTTTTAGATGTGACATATATTTCTTAATGTTTGTTTACTTTTTAAAACACTCACTTTTTTTTTAAATCCGTAGTTGTTAGGAGCTATTCTGAAGGAAATATGAGCCAGCACAGTCTGGTACAGAGTATCTTGCCGTTTATTGGTCTGGCAGAAATCAATCTCATTACAGTTCGGAAAGCAATGCATTCGCTCAAATGACCTGAATGTTTCCAATTTGTTAAACATTTCAAAGCAACACACAATCTTGTTTTTTCTTAGAGGTTTATACCCTGGGAAAGAAGAAATTTCAGGTTGGGAGAAATGGAAAGTAACTGTTCAAATAGTGTGAAGTTGTCCGTAATAGGAAATTGGCATGTTCTTTGTTCCATGCTGTAGCCCTGGTCAAATGCAACTTAACATAATATGTTTGTTCTTTTTGTGTGCTTCTTTGCAGGCCAGCTTTTATGTGCATCAGCACTGTGCACTCCAAAGCAATGCCTATGAGAATGTCTTAACCCAGCAAGCACTTGCAAGGGGGGGCTCTGCTAGTTTTTCCCCCTTTGGGAACTCCAGTTGATGAGTCAACACTAGTGATGGAGATCCACTGAGTCCTGTCCCTGACACTATTCATTGCCCTTTCCCCCTTTCCCCTTTACCCCTGCCCTGCCTGGCTAGTGCACGAACATGCTGCGCTTCCTCCCACTCAAGCTTGGCCGTTTGTACAGGTGTCTGAAGCTTCTTTTTGTCATTGGCCTGTTTGTCATCTTGCTGATGAACACGCACAACCTCTTCGCCTCTTTCCAAAAGAATGAACTCACCGACCGAAGGTTCATCAACCTCAACAAGTGCCCAGCCTGCTTTGGCACCAGCTGGTGTCGCAAGTTCATGAATGGACAGATATCTTTCGAGACATGGGGTCGCCTTCGCTTCCTGGATATCTTCAATGTGAAAAATGTTTTCTTTGCCCAGTACGGGGAGCCTCGTGAGGGTACACGGAGGATTGTACTCAAGCGTTTGGGTTCCAACCAAGAGCTTACTGATATTGACCAGAAGATTTGCAAGCGGGCAACAGGCCGACCTCGTTGCGATCTTATCCAGGCCATTTACAAGACTGAGTTTGCCCGACTTAATGGGGACGTCAGACTCCTAACCCCAGACGTTGTGGAAGGCTGGTCAGACCTTGTTCAATGTCCGTCCCAAAGACTGCTGGACAGAATAGTCAGGAGGTATGCTGAGACAAAGGACTCTGGAAGCTTCCTCCTCAAGAACCTTAAGGACACAGAAAGAATGCAGCTGCTGATGACCTTGGCTTTCAATCCAGAACCCTTAGTGCTTCAGGTAGGCTTTTTCATGTTGTCTACTAACCCATGTCTCTCTGACAGACTCCCTGGGCCTGTAATATATCGCCTGTGTTATAAAAGCCAGATCATAACATATGCTCTTGAATTGCCCTTGATAATTCCGCCAGTGGAATATAACCTGTCAGTTTGGTGGGCTGCAAATAGGCAAAAAAATGCCGCTGTAAATTATAGGGTGTGCTACTTTCACCCCAGACGTTGTGGAAGGCTGGTCAGACCTTGTTCATTGTCCGTCCCAAAGACTGCTGGACAGAATAGTCAGGAGGTATGCTGAGACAAAGGACTCTGGAAGCTTCCTCCTTAAGAACCTTAAGGACACAGAAAGGATGCAGCTCTTGATGACCTTGGCTTTCAATCCAGAGCCCTTAGTGCTTCAGGTAGGCTTTTTCATGTTGTCTACTAACCCATGTCTCTCTGACAGACTCCCTGGGCCTGTAATATATCGCCTGTGTTATAAAAGCCAGATCATAACATATGCTCTTGAATTGCCCTTGATAATTCCGCCAGTGGAATATAACCTGTCAGTTTGGTGGGCTGCAAATAGGCAAAAAAATGTAGCTGTAAATTATAGGGTGTGCTACTTTCCCTGCCTCTCTGTTTCCATTCCTGCCTGTGTAGTTTGTAAGCCACAATTCTAGAGTTTGAAGTCCTGCCCCTGTAATATTGAAGGACCTCAATTGGGAAGTGTTTAATTGCAGCTTTATAGGCCAAAGCTGGTGGATTTATCTTGCCTTAATTAATATTTTAAAGAATTTTGAATTATTTAAAAACTTAATGGTCATTACGATTTTATTTCTTAATCGCAAAAGCTGCCTTGCAGAATAGGCTGTTTCTTATCAGCACATTTATAATGTATCTCACAGTCACTGTACTGTTTAGGCCTTCATATCGGTGTATTTTCTCCTGACATACCATGCTACTTACCATCTTGAGATAGCAATGATAATAAGGGCCACTATCTGACCAATTTTCAATACTGATTTACAATTGGACAATCAATTTAAATTTCACTTCCCATTGGCCGCAGCTGGTAAATGCCCAGAACAACAAAGGAACAAAAGCCCTGTGAAGACATTCGGTGTCTTGCTGACCTCTAATCTATCACAAGGTCCTGACACCCTCTGGCATTTGCTAAACAAAGGGGAGATCAACCCAGTCTATAAAATCTGACTAGTTATGTGTGGTCCCTGTCATTCGGTGGCCTCCTCCTTTGTCTCTGTTTGTTTCTCACTCTCTGTTGCTTCTTCTGCAGTGCCTCTCTTTCTTTCATCCAGATAATTCCATCAAGTTTGTAATGCCATAACATTATCAGTTCAAAGCACCCTGTGATTTGTTATCCAGTCCTCCGGTCCACTTCCAGGACCTCTTCTCCTTCCGTCTATCTGTGATTCTGCCCATCATTATTTTGTTTGAGCTGTTCCTGCATGTTTTCCAGTGCTCATAAATAGTTAAGTATGTGTAAACTTGTGAACCATTGGCATGGGAAATCCGTTCCCCCTGGGAGTACTCTGGATAACCTGAACTCTCCAAGCACCAGAGGAGCTTCTGGTAGACCCTGAAGGGTGGTTTAATGCCTTTGGCTATTCCATAAACAAGAAACACTGTAATATTTCAGGGATAAAAAGAAATGAGTGGTTGCGCACCAGTTCATTAAGAATTGATGGCATCTATGCTGAGTGTATACCAAGCCGGAGAAGATGCTCTTGTGTTTTAGAAGGCTAGACTTTCATTTTTATTTCAAGTACAACCTTGTGGTTTTAGCAACTACTGTGGACTATGGTGGAACAGTGATGGCATCAGATCACAATTAACATATATTTAATCATTCATGCATATACAAGTTTGAGGAAGCTACTTTAAAAAAAAAAAGTTTAAAAGTAGTTAAACTACAGGGAATCTATTCCTAAAAAAGGTACTTAGATGCTAACGAAAGGGAAACTAACGAAAAGGAACTACCACACTGAAATATTTTATGTGAGCAATATTTCAATGTATTTACCTGACACAAGAAGATATCAGTTAGTGTGCCAGCATTAAACAGAGGTGTGTTCACTACATACAACGAATACAATTAGAAGCTAGTCTCTGAGCCTTCACTGCACTACATACTGTATGATAAAAAAGACAGTTTATGAGAGTGTTTGATTATTACCTCACTTGGTTGTAAAGTTGGTTTAAATGCAATTTATAAACAAACAGCAATGTGAATTTTTGTTGTGCCACACTGCTAATTTTAAGCAAAAGTTGCTTGGTAATGGGAAAGCTACACTACACAAATGTTTTAAGCAAAAGAGCTACTGCCATGTTTCTGACAAATTTTGTTAAATACACTGTTCATGTATAATTGTATTTACTGTATTCTAAGGTACTTTAAAGAATACCCCAAAATCAGCATCCTTCCATGTCCAAAATATTACAGTACCACTGTAGTATCCACCTTATTTTTCACCTTATTTTTGGGCGCAGCCATTTGTAAATTTAATGTGTCTGACTTCTGGTCTCATTCACTTCCAGCTATTTTTAGCTGTACAAAACAGCTTGTTTTGCTGCTTGATATTGCAAACTGGTGTGTCTTGCTATATTATTTTAATGTATTATCATAATTATAAACACACTGGTTTGTAGTGCAACCAGTTTTACCCTTTACTGCACTTTGTTTTTCCTCTTGTTATTTCCCTACAGCGGCTAATGAACCGGAAGTCTAACACGTTCACAGAAAACGGCTTCCGCTTTGAAAATTAAGGTGGATATAGAGCACATCAAATATGGTCAACAGACTGAAAAATAAGGTGGATATGTCAATTTAAAATATAAATATTATAATGCTTTTTTACTTCTTTCCTTACGTTGTGCTTTTTTTGTACTGTAATTAAGCCATCCATAATCGCCTCATTTTCTGAGAATTAATTCAAGCAGAACTTGTTTTTCCCTCACAAAACTTCTCACTCTCACTTCTTTTACTCTGTATAATGCCATGATGCTATTAACCACTGCTTCAGTTTCCAATCTACTGTGAGGTTTCTGGCAGGAAAGCAGCCCTTCCTCTCAGCTATGTGAGAAACCAAACCTGTTTTTGTCAGTGGAAACCAATCCTCAGTGCAGTTGTAAGGTTGGCCCACAACAGGCCCCCTTTTTTTTGTCTGCCGAAATCATGGTGCTGCAAGGAAAGCAATTTGTCCCAAAGGAACAGATATTTTTAGAAATTAATACAATGGCCAGAAATAACGAATCGCGTGTGATATGAAAGGCCTTTGTTTTAAAAGTCCCACAGTCCTGCCATGAAATGCTGAAGCCAACCATTGTATTTATTTTACCCTATTCACATAAACCATAAAATTTTCCTCTGTCAACCAGCCAGATTTGAACCTTTAAAACAGCATTATGTTTTGTTCTATGCTGATTTCTCGAGTAGGTTGAGGAGATTCTGTGACCCACATTCTTTGCAGAGATGTTTATTAATTCACACTTTCGTGAGCCGACGTTCCCTGCATTCTATCTTCTGTCTGTGAAACTGTGATGCATGAGGTCATGTTCAATAGATGTAGAGGCTGGTTTAGGTGACCTTGCTCAAATTTAGCCAGGAGCACGGTACTTTGTTAACAGCCCCCGCGTTAGCATAGGCTCTGCCTGCTCAGCCAGCTTGACAACAGGACATGACAGGCCTGTGGGGTTAACGCAGTCAAGGGTGCATTGCTTGCCTCCAGAATGGTTGCTTGTCGAGACGTTCCTCCCTGCACCTGACATAGTTTGTGAGTTCAGCTGGAGAAAAAATGGCAAAACGGTACTTCTGAAAGCTCCCCCTGGATTGTGTGGAGTCAAATGAGGGCAGGATTTTGGTAAAGTAAGAGAGCATTAAATAAAAACAGCATGAAAGGTTTTCGAACACAGCCAGTCAATTGCCAATCAGCAGATGATGATTAAGCCAGTGCATTTGCACATTGGTTGCTGAATGTGTAACAGTTGGGTAATAATCCCGTGCAGATTCTTCATGGAGAAGTTAGTTTTTAAACATTGATATATTTGTCTGTAGAAGCTAAGTCTTGTATTCGCCCCCCCCCTTCTACCGAGTTTTTGCAGACTAGTTAGGTAATTTAAACACTGTGAATAAGATTTATATTTACACAAGGAGCAAAATTGCATTAGATATTAAGACAGAGAATATATCTTGCATTAAGTTTATTTTCTTACCCCATAGCAAAAATAAATTTAGTGAGGTTTATGCTTAAAAAACAAAACAAAAAAAAACACATCATGTGTGCTGGTTTATGGAATGAGTCAGTTTTCATAAGCACACAATTTTGTACTTGAATAGTTTCTGAATACTTTTTTTTTTTTGCCTCTAAATCTTTATTATTTAAGTTTTGTAGTTGTTTTGGTTCAAGGATGATGCCTTTGGAGAAACTGAACGGGAAAGCCAAGTTCTTTTTCTGCTCTGGTGGTCACTGGTGCCTCCCACACGTTTGCAATCCTGTCAGCTAATAAAACTCACACCTTCCAAATGAAGATGTAGTCTGTCTAGTTTTTCTAGAAGCAGATGTTTTCTCACCACCTCTGCCGTTTTGCAATGTTCTCTTACAGGTGTTTCATAACTTGAGCTATTCACAAGTTAGAGGAAAAATTAAGGTGTAGCCTACTTGTGTTAGTTTTGGGTATGGAGGGAAACCCCCCCCCCAGCCACATGAAACAAAATCACATTATATATAAATTGTATAAATAAGTGTGTTTTTAATTGGACCGAAATATGCTTAATTTTATAATAACATTTCCCTTAAGTCTGTGTGCTGTCTTGGATGAACGTATTAAGTCAAGTCAAGTCAAGTTTATTTGTACAGCGCTTTTCACGATACAAATCATTGCAAAGCAACTTTACAGAGATAAATCAGGCAGGTTATTTGTGAATCTGTCTTTGGTGGCTGGAACAATAGTTCTGCCCGGCCGATAACGTGGAGCCATATAGTTAATATCAGTAATACGCAGCAT